CGTGGTGGGTTGTCCATGGTGTGTGCGTGTGTATACACGTGGTGTGTTGTTCATAGTGTGTGTGTGTGTATATACGTGGTGGGTTGTTCATGGTGTGTGTATACACGTGGTGTGTTGTTCATGGTGGGTGCGTGTGTATACACGTGGTGTGTTGTTCATGGTGTGTGTGTGTGTATACACGTGGTGGGTTGTTCATGGTGTGTGTGTGTATACACGTGGTGGGTTGTTCATGGTGTGTGTGTGTATACACGTGGTGTGTTGTTCATGGTGTGTGTGTATACACGTGGTGTGTTGTTCATGGTGTGTGTGTATACACGTGGTGTGGTGTTCATGGTGTGTGTGTATACACGTGGTGTTCATGGTGTGTGTGTGTGTATACACGTGGTGTGTTGTTCATGGTGTGTGTGTGTATACACGTGGTGTGGTGTTCATGGTGTGTGTGTGTATACACGTGGTGTGGTGTTCATGGTGTGTGTGTGTATACACGTGGTGTGGTGTTCATGGTGTGTGTGTGTATACACGTGGTGTGGTGTTCATGGTGTGTGTGTGTATACACGTGGTGTGGTGTTCATGGTGTGTGTGTGTATACACGTGGTGTGGTGTTCATGGTGTGTGTGTGTGTGTATATACACGTGGTGTGGTGTTCATGGTGTATGTGTGTGTGTATACACGTGGGGTGGTGTTCATGGTGTATGTGTGTGTGTATACACGTGGGGTGGTGTTCATGGTGTGTGTGTGTGTATACACGTGGTGGGTTGTTCATGGTGTGTGTGTGTGTGTATACACGTGGTGTGTTGTTCATGGTGTGTGTATACACGTGGGGTGGTGTTCATGGTGTGTGTGTATACACGTGGGGTGGTGTTCATGGTGTGTGTGTATACACGTGGGGTGGTGTTCATGGTGTGTGTGTATACACGTGGGGTGGTGTTCATGGTGTGTGTGTATACACGTGGGGTGGTGTTCATGGTGTGTGTGTATACACGTGGGGTGGTGTTCATGGTGTGTGTGTATACACGTGGGGTGGTGTTCATGGTGTGTGTGTGTGTATACACGTGGTGTGGTGTTCATGGTGTGTGTGTGTATACACGTGGTGTGGTGTTCATGGTGTGTGTGTGTATACACGTGGGGTGGTGTTCATGGTGTGTGTGTGTGTGTGTATACACGTGGTGTGGTGTTCATGGTATGTGTGTGTGTATACACGTGGTGTGGTGTTCATGGTGTGTGTGTGTGCGCACGCGTATGGGGAGCGGTGGCGGAGTGATTCGCGAACCGCGCTCGGAACTTGACCTCCCGAGTTTGATTCCCGCTTATGACCAAGATCCAGGTGTGCTGTTGGCCACCCACCCCCTCGTGTGCCACTCACCGGACGAGTTACTCGTGAAAAGCACTTTCCCCAACAGTCTTGTTAAAGGCTATCCGGGGTTAGTTGTCTTCGCGGTTGGGTGTGTGTCTGTGTGTGAATGGTAAGTGAATGTTACGTGCTGTTGCGTGTGTGCGAGAACGTTTCTACACGTGGACTGTATAAAGGTAGCGAGTGCGTGCACGTTGTGTGTATGTGGTATGTACATGTGGTGTGTGTGTTCATGTGATGGTGGTGGTGTGTGTATAATGTTGCAGACTGTGGTTGTGTGTGTAATAAGTGGTGTGTGTTTGATGATGTAGTGTGTGTTTATGTGATGGTGGTGTGTGTATATGTAATGGTGATGTTTTTTATGATATTGCAGACAGTGTGATGGTGGTGTGTTTTCGATGCTGTAGTCTTCGTGTGTGTGTGGTGGTGTTGAGTGGTGAACACAAGTCCCAGGCCTACATCCATCACTCGCCAGCAGCCGTGATTAGTGAGCTCTTAATTGGCTTTGCCGAAATTGAGACAATCATGATTAACTAAGCAAAAGAAAACATTAAAAAATCAATATTGCCAGCGCTTGCATTGGCTCGTGGCTGATGTGATTCCCATGTCCTCCTCTGATTTTTATCTGCCCTGCTTCGAGCTGTGAGCTGATGCGTGTATTTATTAAATATGGCAATGGCTGGTATGCATGATTGCCAATAGAAGGAGAATCAATCATGGGCCAAAGGGTTTCAGGTTCGTATCATAAAGCACTGCTTTAAAAAAAATGCAATCTCATTAGGCAGACTTAATCATTACGTGTGGAATATAACCGTGTCGCATTGTCACTCCGGCCCGTGCCCAGACCCCAGGGTGTTTTTGAGGGCCCAAGTGGCGGATGTGGCGGGTGAGACGAAGAGGGCCACAATTTGATCATCGAAACGGCCGTCGGTCGCGTCCGAACGGCTCGTGAACTTGGAAGTCACGAGGTGGGGACCGCGCCGCCACCGCCGCCGTTGCCTTCTTTGTGTCGTTCCTGTTTGCCACCGTGTGATCGAAACAAAGAGAGAGAGAGAAACTGCCAAGGGAGAGCAAATGACCTGTGACTGTTATTGCCGGTAATGGCGAGAGACAGCGGCGTCGATGAAGAATGAGCGCGGAGGATCTCTGATGGTCTCGGCAAGAAGTGCCCCTCGCTCGCGCTAACGACGTGTTCCCAGCGCGCGATGGGGAAACGAGTGCGGGCCCGCGTTATTACGCCGGGGAGTAATAAGCCAACTTGTAGTGTGGCCGAGCGCGGAGGGAGAGACGCACTGTAAAGACAAGGGGGGGGGCCTCTTTTCGCCGACTCCTCGAGCCTCTGCCGGTCATCCCAGAGTCGTGACAGGTTAGCCTCCCCGCGGCTATGATCGTGTGCGGTTAATTGTTGGGCTTCCCTTTGAACTAATTAATGCAAATGGTCACAAAAAAGTGCGCTGTTCTGCCTAGGCCGAAGGGGGGGGGGGGGGGATGGAGGAGTCGGGTTAGATGTGAAGATCCCCCGCGATCCAGTGAAAGGCCCCTTTTGTGTGGCCTGGCTTTTGCCGGAAGGTTTGGGGAGGGAGGGATGGGGAGTGTTTTGGGAGGGGGGGGGGGTACACATGGGGCAGAGTGAAGGAGGAGAGGATGAAGGAGGGTGGGGGGGGAGGCACTGGTTTGTGATCCGGAGGGCCCTGTCCTCCGCCACCACCGCCGTGCCTTCCTCGCAAAGTGGCCAGCATCTTTGGGGTGTCGGTGGGAGCCGAGGAGAGATGATACCCCCTTGTAAATGTTGGCAAATTCGCCAGGGATGAAGACGACTTCCCTTTCATGCGGCGGAGGCGGCGGCGGTGGTGGCGGTGCTGGGTGGCTGGGAAACCGCGGCAGGAATTTGCAGCCCAGGTGTGGAATCACTGCGAGGTGCCACCGTCGCAGGCAGGCAACTTTTATTTAATTGTGAGAATCTACATTTTACTTACGGGATTTTTTTGAGCGCGTTCCTGTCCAATTGCGATGAAAACGTGAAAGTTCTCACCGGCTCGGCGGAAAAGGATTTTTTTTGCGCGTGAGTGAGTATACGAGTGCGCGTGAGTGAGTATAGGAGTGCGTGCGTGCGCGCGAGCGCTTGTTTGGTACGGTACAATGCGGCGTTTGAGAGTACGGATAACGATGTCAATGGTACAGTGCAAATAAGAGAAATGTTGTAAGGTCTGGGTTGGACGTATTTGTGTTACGTGTGCAGATGTGTCTAAAACATTACCGCGATTTCTGTTTGCAAATATATTTCATGGATTATTAATAATGATATTTAATTTATAGCTGCGACAAATATATTTAAAAGTAATTCTTAAATTGTAACGTACGATTTAAATAATGGATTGTTTCTTGCCAGCACAGTTAGTGCATTGTAAAGGATACTGGCAAATGTAATTTTACAGCACGTTGAGAATTACAAAGCTGACAGAAAAAAAAATCTAAAATTTATCTACGTGTATTTATCATAGTATTTATAATATAAAGGTTAGTAAAACATTCTCATTTTAAAAAAAATGTATCTACTGATGGGAACCATGTTGACTTTGTGGCCTACCAGTTCTCTGGAAGAGATGCGTCTCCACCGAGTGAGACTCAAATCTCGTCGTCATTCTTAATCGATACATTTATTTGCAATTGCGCGAGTTATTTACAATTGGTGGTAGCTATGGAATCTCATTAATTGTAGAATTGTGCGAGAATTAAACATGGAAGTTAAAGGTAAATAATATTTGTAAATAATGCGAACCTGTTCATGCTCACAGATTGAGGACCGTGATGTTCCCGTCATGTGACCTTCATATAACACAATTCTGTACATCTGACTTTATTTTATTTACAGGCGAAATTTTACTAATTTTTTAATATAAATGTTTATTTTTTGACGTTCAATAAGGAAATATTGTAATTGTCGCTGAATGCAAAAGACTAAAATTATATTTTCATAAACATAGCCATTTTCCTAACTATAGCTCGTACACAACCGTACGCGCTGTGTGTATGTGGCGGTATGCTATCGCTGTATACTGGAGTGTAATGAGACCCGTGTGTATGATATCTCGTGCGTGCGTGCGTGAGTGCATGCGTACGCACGTCTGTGTGTATACTAGCACGTTAATGCACGTGTACTCTGTCTAACGCTGCGTGCGTCGCAATGCACCGCACGATGTGCTGCGTGCGGATGTGACCTCTTCAGACGGCGTCCCTGCACGCTGCGCGCCGATGGAGGTGTAACGCGCGTGGTATATGGCGCGCGTGGTATATGGCGAGCGTGCGCACGTTTGTGTACCCGAGGCCCTTGGTTTAACCGTAACCGTCCCTCGCCCTTCTCCTCTGACATGTGCGCCATCGGCCCGGGCCCCGGCGTGTTTTGTCGTAGCGGTGTCGGCCGCTGCGAGTCGCGTCGCGAGCACCCGAGACGGACTCGGCTCGGTTCGCTCTCGTGCGCACGTTCCGTCGTTTCGGGAATCCCACCACCCTGAGAGCTCCCCTCCTCCCTCCCCCACTTGCTCAGCGCTGTTTGTGCAGATTTGACAGTCACGTCGGGGTGGATGTGACACGTCTAATTATAAGGGCCGCTCGGTCGTTGCTGCCCGGTGAGCGCGCGGCGTCGCGTTACCGTCGCCGGCGTCTCCTGTCAGCCATCCCCACGGCGACCCCGCGGCAAGTCGGACCAATTTCACATTCTTTTCCGGCCGACGAGCCACTGCGCACGGACAACAAACATTTAATTTTTCCACGGGACAGTTTTAACCAGGATGGGTTCGGAACAGTGAGTGTGTGAGGGAAGGTGGGTAGGGTGGGGTATATGGATTTTAACGGGGGGGGGGGGGTTAGAAGAGAAGGAATAAAAAAAAGCAGAATGAAAACAACTTTTCAAAGCGACGATTTATCATCTCCTCCCCTCCAGAGCGGCCTGTCTCTTTGCCTCTCGACAGATTGCTCATTTCGTTGTCCTCGTAAACCCCGTGTCAGGCCGGGGTTAGCGGGCGACGACACCGTGGCAACTGCCGCCCGAACCTCGTTTGCATATCAATACGCTTCTAGGGACGGGGCTATTTAATCAAGGGCCATGCGAACTTGGGATAATGAGAATGGATGGATTTAATGGTCCTCTCTCTTACACGCGGGGGTTAATAGGAATCCCTCGCCGGTCTGGCGCCGACGTCGCGCACTGGCACGTGTCAATTCGTTTCATCTGCATATGTTAATTGGTGGTGGTGGGGGGGACCTTTCAGCGCCGGCCACACCGCCGCCGTCACCAGAGGACGCGTCCTTGGATGCAAATGCCGGCGGCGGGTATCGTGTTTAATTACTCGGTGCGCGTCCTGCCCATTATCATCATAAAAGGCGGCCGCGTTGCGGGAATTGGGGAGCGTGGCGCTCTGACAAATTGGGGCTTATTAATTCGCGAGTTGCGGCGCACTTGCCATCCCGGACACGCATCGGGGCCTGGCCGAGGTACGCCGGTGCCACGGACGCCGCTCGGCTCGAGCCACGTGGTGGGAGTCTCGGCGTGAGCTCTGGCACGATGACGAGGCGAGCGGACCTCCGTGGGATGGCCGGCCTCGCGCATGGCTCCTTCACTTCCGTGTCTTCCAAGCAAGGTGCGAAGACGCCGTTACATTCGTCCATCGGCCACGGTCGATCCGCTGCTGAATGAAGCCCCCCTCCCCACAACCCCTATGCTCAAGCTGTCACCGTCTCTCAATCGATCTTTTCGCATTTACAGCAGAACGGGAACGGTACAGGGGGGCCATGGAGCAGCAACAGGAATGAGAAAAGAAACCCGTCACGACCTCGGTGGCTGTCCACCTAGCATCTGCACGCCAGTTGATTTTCATTGCTCTACCTCCTCTGTGGACGTCCTCCTGACGCGTTTCCACTTCTTGGCCGCTGCTCTGTCACCGTTCTTGACCATCGGCCATCGTCCCTTCTTGTTCAAGCCCATGTACCCGTCTTGACGGTTTGAATTATGGAGAGATGTGTGGGTGTGTGGCGTGTGGTGTCGTTTCAGCCGGGTCTGTCCGGTCGATCCGGAAAATATTTCTTCACCCCGCACACCGCTGTCCCGTTTACGTGTTTTGCCGTCTGGCCGTGGCGACTGCTCGTGAGGTTCCACCGACTGCAGCCACTGTTCAGCGACCCGGGAAAATGTTCCGTGAGGAAGGGATCGCCGTGTACAGCGGACGCTACCCGTCGCTGGCGGTAATGTTTTGTTCTGCGGACAAATTACTCCTTCGTGTACGATCTGAGGGTATCGTTAAATAACGCGTTTTTGAGTGCGTAGTTTTAAATGCGTTTTTTTTTCAAATTGGGCAAATCGCATGCATTTAAATTACAGCGCAGATTAACTAGAGCACATATAATATTAATAATTTATCCAAAAGCTCCCTCTGTATTGAAACAGTCAGCGGTTTGCGTTGGTGACTGCGCGGCATTGCAGCTCTGAAAATAAGTAAGTCGAGTGTGTTTGTTTTGTGTCATGCAATCTCGACCCGAATTAAACATTAACCAGAATATCCAAATGCGCTGCAAGGTCTGGCTTTCAGATCTTCGATAAGGCTGCAGCAGCAAGCAGCGTCGCTGCGGTGCCGGCGGTGGCGTTGCTGCTGCTGCTGCTGCTACCCCACGCGTAGCTTTTGTCCGAATTCGCTGTACAGTGCACGCCGCACCGAGTACGACATCGCCTGGCCTGACAACGCCGGGGCTGGAGCCCGCGGCGCCACCGCCACCGCCGGCCCCTGCGCTACCTTTGTTAGCGCCACGAGGCTGCGGGCCGCCTGCGCCGGTAGCTCCTCCTCTGCTGCCTCTGTCCCACGCGCCGCTGGCTTTCCTCACGACGGCCTTAACTTTATTTTTCGTTATTTCCCACGTGAATTCAGTTGGTTGAGTCGCCGCGACCCTCCGTCAGTCCCCGACCTCGATGGAGGCTTCCTGAAGTTTGTGTCTGTCTATCGTGGTGCTTGTTTAACCATATTTCACCACGCTGGTCAGTGCCCAGGACCAATTTTCAGATAATACCGCTCGCCACTGATGATAGCCGTGGGTGGGAATCGATCTCTGGTCGCCGGCTTCGTAGCGTCGTGCGAGCCGCTGCACCGGCACCCCTCCCGTATTTCTGTTCCGTTTCTGAGTTTCTTTAATTCCGGTCAGTACTCGCAAATAAATAGAGATATTGTTTTGCCATTTGAAATACAAAATGTCCTGCTACGTATCCTCTTAAGATGAATCTAATGAATGTAACCATTCATGTTTTGAAAGGCCACATTAGCTGGTGATGTATGAGCAATCTTGACTCGGGGTGTGTGTGCGTGCGTGCGTGCATGCGTGCGCGCGCGCCAAAGTACAGATGTTGAACATCCCTTCCCCGAGTTTGCCGTGCGGAATCCCCCGCCCCCCCCCCCCGTCCGCCGCTGGAGGTCCTGGTGACCGCGCTAGCAGCGGGCGCGTGCCTCTTAGTCCTAACCGATTGATTCTTTAGCACAAAGAGATCACAACGAGTCCACGAGCGGTTTTCACTCCGCACATTTAAATTTATATCCCAAAGAATTGTGCGCTTCACCAAGTCATCATCATTGTCATCAACTTTAATCAACACTATCAGCAGCTATCTACCCACTGCTGGATGAATGCCTCCTCTAAGCTGGCATCATCTCTCGCGGTCCTGCGACGCATCAACCCGTCTAGTTCCTGCACGAGATCCGATTTCATCGTTGGCGGAAAGCCTTCTCTCAGGGCGATCCCGTCTTTGGCTGCCACTCGATCGTAAGTCGTCAACCATCGGCCGCCATCCTTCCTAGTGCCGTGTCCTGTCCAAGCCTTGCACTCAACGCTGTGTCTCTCATTTCGCCTCTCCTGTGTGTGTGTGTTCTCCAGTCCACGTGTCCCACTCTACGGCTCTCTGTGCCATTCCCAGCATGCACCTCTCCCATGCTTTTGGGCGCACTTTTTACTTCTTGTTCCATTTTCTTTGTGAGCGTCCATGCGTCCGATTCACGTATATTCACGAGTGATACGTACCAATTGAAATCCTTCTCCTTTAGGCGCGTTTCTCTGTTGATATTTTTCATTTCGGCAATATTTACAAACAATAACTTCTGCGCAATCTAAATGCGATCGCATTCCTTGCTTGTCTGCTTTTGTGACGCCTTCAGCCCTGAGCCCGGTCTGGGCATTTATATTAATAAATGATTAACAGCTATTTAAAACAATATTGACCTGGCTGGCTGGCCTTATTGAAGGCAAGTATTATATCATTAGCGCTGATTAGCTTGCCCTTTATTATTGCATTCCAAGCATTCTTGCGATCTTATTCCCCGGCCAAATTGTATGGAGCGGGCTCGATCTGCACATCTGGAATTGCTGCGCAAAAAGAAAACTGCGTCGCTTCTGTGTTCTCACACCCGGCGACGGTGGCTACTTAACGCCGCCAATAAGCGCAGATTCTTCAAATTGTGATATTTTTTTGCCACCCGGCGGTTATTGATGACGCTGCCTTTGATCGCGGAGTAAATTCCTGAATGCAGGGAGACGCTGGATGGGGCACCGCGGGGTTCCCGCAGCGTGGGCGCGGAGACTGTTCCGTAGTGGGATGGTTCAGTGGTGGCATGGTTATTGATGTTCTGTGGCTCAGTGGAGGGATGGTCGAGTGGTGGGGTGGCTCGGTGGTGCGGTGGCTCGGTGGTGGGGTGGCTCGGTGGTGAGATGGTATTAATGTTCAGTGAGTGAATGGCTCCGTGATGGGATGGCGGATGGTCTCCAATAGAACGCTCTGATGTCCAGTGATAGGATGGCACTGATGTTAACTGATGACACGAGTGTTAAGTGATGGTATTGATGTTTGATGATGACACTGATCTCCAGCAATGAGATGTCCTTGATGGTCGGTAATGATCAGTGATGTTTGGCTGCGTGAACACATTGGTTCGGTTGAATGAAAGTTCAGGGGAAGAAAAGGAGGCTTTTTGATTACATTTCTTCATGTGGTATTTTTTTGTAGATGAAAAGAGCGCGCTGGTATTTTTGATGATATGAATATTTACAGTGTTGTTATTGGCAGCCGTTTCAAAAATATATTAAAAACTACAAGATTTATTAAAGTGACATTGGCAAGCCAAACTTATATGAGCTAATCAACATTTCGGCAGACTTCTCACATTTCCCAGATAGCGTGCGTGTGTATGTATATTGTTTATAGCAAAACGGCCATGATAGATTATATCATGGGTTGCGGTTGTGTGGATTATTCAGCGAGTTGTGTGGTGGGGTGAAGTTTAAGAGACGAGGAGTGAGAAATGAGCGGTACCCATCTCGGACGAATCCAGTCGCATGGTAAGGGGGGGGGGACACGCACCCTGAGGAGTAGAGACGGGAAAGACCACCATCGAGAGGAGGAATACGAGATGACCGCGGGAGCACCAGGGCGGAGACGGGCAGGCAGGACCTCGAGAGGGGAGGTTGGTCGAGGTGATGGCTCAGGACGAGAGCGAGTGTCGGAGGAGAGGAGCAGGAAAGCAGAGCACCCATATGGGTGGGGAAAATATTAGAAAGAAGATGGTATTTGCACAGAGACCCACAGACCCGCACAGAGACCCACAGACCCGCACAGAGACCCACAGACCCGCACATAGACCCATAAACTCGTATAGATACACATAGACAAACAGACTTGCATAGAGACTTACTGCAGGTTGGGCTAATCCGAATGGGCGACGAGCTGGGAGCCCGTTTTAAACATCCTGGTGTACCTCTGATAAGGATCTCAACTATCAAAGGGACACACGGAGGCGGCTGTTTAAAGGCCGTGCTGCTGTCTGGTAAACAGGAAAGCCCAGGCAGGGAGACAATGGCTCGTTTAAAACTATTAAACGCGCAGAAGAGGGAGTCGTATATTAATTGGGGAAAATATGTTTTATTTGAATAGGATGTAGGAGAGGGGTGCAAGGGGGATTTGAAGAATAAACTGGTGCTGGACCTTCTCTAGGTCGACTCGGCCTCAAATGAGTACCTGGTGCGGTGTGTAGTAACCATCGCCACTCAGGAGATAAAGGCGGCCGGGCGTAGTGATGGCCACCCACCCCATTGTGTGTCGTGTCGGCCTTCATAGGTGCTTGCTAACAGCACTTGCCCCTACAGTCTGTTAAGGCTATACGAGGTACCTTTGTATTTGGTGGATAGCTCCTTAACGGTTTTGGGTGGCACCGTTAAGCAAAGTCAGTGGGCTGGGGCAGGACGGGGGGCCAAGGATGGCGATGGAGTCGCAGCCAAGGGATGGTAACGCCACTCGTGTGCAGGTGCCAGGTGGATTGTTGCATTGCAAAATCACGAGAGGCTGCCACGGCTTGGGGAGGTCTTCATCCAGCAGTGAATTGCTGGTGGCCGCTGTCACTGATGATGATTATGATGAGAGCTTTAGTGAGGGAGGGGGTTGGCAGGTCTTTGGGAGAGCCACGGTGAGAAACTGGCCAGAGTCCTAAACGGAGAGAGGGGCACGGCTGTGTACAATAGAATCTAACCCCCCTCTCATGCCCTGCAAGTCACGTGACATCACCGCACTACCTGTGTAATGCACACGGACCCGGTTTAGACCATCGGCTCCAAAGCGTCAAAATCGTGGCCGTGCTGTGTGTCAA